ATACATATACATATACATATACATATACATATACATATACATATACATATACATATACATATACATATACATATACATATACATATACATATACATATACATATACATATACATATACATATACATATACATATACATATACATATACATATACATATACATATACATATACATATACATATACATATACATACACATACCCATACGCATACGCATACGCATATACATATACATATACATGTATGTATGTATGTACTCCCTCCGTCCCAGTGTATTAGTCCAGTTTGACTTTTTCGAGTCAAACTGGACAAACTTTTAGCTTCAATTAAATAAAAACAGTAATGTATTTTAACATAAAAATAATTTTATTGGATTTATCGTATTGAGAACTTTCAAAATTGTATTTCATTATGCTAATATGCAATATAAATTGAGAGTAATTAAAATTTTTGGTTTGTCCAGTTTGACTCGAAAAAGTCAAACCAGACAAATACACTGGGACGGAGGTAGTATATATATATGTATGTATGTATATGTGTCTATATATATATATTTATTTATTTATATATATATATATAGGTCTTATACATTTTAAGGAAGCTTGACCGAGAAGACCGAGAGAGAGAGAACACAAGTTTAAGTCTATTAAGCTACCCTAAAAGAAAATGGACTGCACTAAAAAATGTTTTTTTTCAAAATTTTAAATCGGCCCAAGGTATCAAGGCGAGGTAAGGCGACGCCTAGGCAAGCGCCTTGTCACCTTAAGGTTTTCTAGACGAGGCGAACAGACAGCGCCTTATCGCCTAGGTGATGCCTTACAAACTATGTTTGGAGTAAATAATGTCCAAACAAGATGGTCAAACAAACACGTGTTTCTAATTAGTTAGCACTTGCTGCATCTAGATTTGAAAGCAATTTACTTAAATAAAAGGGAATCACATAGAAGTGATAAGTTTTGGTTTTATATTTGTGTTATGATTGGTTTTAGTCACATGACATCTCTTACTCTCTTGGTCTTCCCAAAGTGCCTCTTTTTCCGCAACCAGATGAATCCAAAGTCAAGAGCTCAAAAGTTATTAGCACTGCTAGTTGATAACCGTAAATTTGATTTGCCGGGTATCATAAGCCAAGCACATCATTGCATTAAATGGATTCCCTGTCATGTACTAGTATTATGTTAATTTGCATTGGTTATATCATATATGCAATTCCATTTTACTCACATACTACTACATAATGTAATTCCATTTTACTCACTTACTACTACATAATGTTTAGTTAGTTTAGGACTAGGCATTCTGTAATTTAACAAATCAGCCCGAACAATTTTACATTTCTTTATGTCTTTCATTGCTTCCCAGTTTGAACCCTTATACTTCAACCTGGTGAACATTTTATTTTTAAATTAGAAGCATTTAATACTTTCTAGTTTCTATTAAATGGAAAAACGTATGATAATTTCAAGAATTCATGTCATTATTCCTTCTTTAGAAGGTTTCCTCAAGATGGGCATCCGGCGTTAAACAATCACTATGCTTTTTGCATGAATTAGTAGCTTTAAATCCCTTTAAGCAATTAATCTATACTATTTACTAAATTTCATGTCAATGACCCCAGCATAATTGAGATTAAGACTATGAGGATGGTGATGATGATATGTAATCTTATTTTCTTTACCATAATATGTATCATTCCTCTTTTGTTTTTCTTTCGATTCCTAATCTGATATTCAAGAAACATTGCTCAGGACTGCTCGATAACGTGCTGAGTGATTACCTCTGGGCAAAGGCCATACTTTTGACAAGTACAACGGTCGCAACAGCAGGGCTCACAATTCAGGTCCCATTGGCTGCTATTGTGGATTCACTCACAGGAAATTCACCTGGTATCATGGATTATATTGGAGCTACTGCTGTGATGATGGGTTTTGCCGGCATTAATATACCTTCGGGTGCATGTTCAAAGTCCCAAGAAACAAATATTGAGCTAGAAGAAGGAAATCTCCACCCCACCCAGCAAGAACATGTCACACCTCAGTAAATGAAGAATTTCATGTTTTTTTAATAGTGATTGGTTGCCCTGTGTTTTGTTGAGTGATATACTTACTGACTTGTTTTTTTCTCAAGGATCTGAGTGTAACATTATATTGTTCCTGAATCCTGGACAAGGGATTGCAGGAATACAATGTTTTGATTCTTTCTGTTTTGTCATTTTTGAACATTTTTGTTTCCTTGTGTATGTGTGTGTGTGTGTAAGAAGAGAACCCCAAGT